CTAATGAGTGGGGATACATAAGCTACCGTTGCCAATATATCATACAAAAATATAAAATGGTTGAAAAATTATTATAAAAAAGCTGGTATATAGCAACGAGCACACGCGAGATGATTGAAAAACAAGCAAAAAGCAATCGGAAAACCCTGTTACCACCAGTCCCACAGAGTTCTTTCAAAAATCCGTGACTTGAAGGGGCTAGCCTGGACAGCACAATATAAGCATTCGCGCTGGTAGTTAAGCGTTTTTTAGTTACTCTCAATTACTTTTGGCTAACGTGAGGAGGTCCCCTGTAGGACTGAAGTCGGAGCAGGAATAGAACTGGTAAAAAATGATGAGTTATGACCTTAGCGATTACCCGAGTTACTTGTCTATATTCTGCAAAAGAACACTTGTCATTTTGATCTCAATATCGAGTAGTATATTATAAACGGAGATGGCCATTTATGACTTATTACTCATCATCGGCCGGTTCATTCTTATTTCCCAGTTATCGTAATGATATGATAGTTCAACCGTCATTTTCTACGATGTCCCCGCGGGCTTCAGCAAGCTGGAGGCAAACGCGGTGACTGTAGACACTTACTCCGAAGTTTCCGTCGTGCTTGAAGGCGGATCCTTATCTTGGAGATGGCGAAGCGATAAGTGGGTGGACTGGAGCTGGTGTTGGGTGTGTCCACATCACGGTGAATGCGCATGTGATCCACTAGACCAATGCGATGGGTGAATGCGTGGGAACAGTGTGGGAAGTGAAGGCGACTGTTTATACTACGTTTTGGTTTTTGTGAAAAAAAACTCGCGGTCTCGGCAAGAGCCTTGTAGAGCGTTGACTGCGCAAAAAGCCCTCCCTGCTTTGTGTGGGTTCGTCTCTCACCGAGGCCGCGAGATTTGTCATAATTGGGTCAATTCAATTAAGAAAATCTGCCAAAATACCCCAACAACTATACTAATCTAACTCAAGAACGGTAAGTTGGACCCCAGGTAGTAGGACGTAGACGACCTCCCAAACACCAAAGTTACAAATTTGTCACATCCAATAAAATGGCGCGCTATTTTGTTGCAAAAACATTAGATAACTTAAACAACTTCTGGGACCCAAAGTAGGATTCCACCTATAAGTCAGATGCTACATCGCGATTGTGTTCTCACCTATCCTGACTGACATCGTACACCTCACATGAGGCTAGGTTTATCCAGGTATCGTCTTCTTCATAGCATCCACCAAAGACGCCAATCAGAGCCCTCTCTTCGTTCTTCTCTTGGTTTGTGGTAGTAACGACGGCGGCTGAATGCTGCTGGCGTCGATCGGCAAGAGGCGCCCGTTGACGCCAACGCCTTTCCCCCACTATAAACTCGTCAACGCGGGTGGAGCCATCATCCTGCGCAGTCTCTCCTCCAATTACGAATATGCTCCCTGTCGTAGATGGGAGGAAAAGCATACAAAATGTGCATGACGCTTTTAAAAATTGCGTGGGCAACACAAAATAAAAGGGGCGTTGGTCACCACAACTGGGTAGACTTTAATGGATAGAGCCGTTTCTTAAAAACAGGAAATGTATCTTGTAAAAACACCGTATTTTGATACGCATAACCAAATACTAATTTCGTCGCACTTTTTAGTTTAGTTTAGTTATTCGTTTATTTCTTAATGTTATTGGTTTTAATTTGGTTTATTTTCGCTTAGGTTTCTTCTTTTTAGTTTCGTTTAGTTTTTAGTTGATTGTTTAGTTTTAGGGTAGTTTAATTTTTAGTTTAGTTTGTTAAGCATAGTTTTAGTTTTTCAAGTTTATTATTTAGTTTTTGCTTATTTTCCTTCGCCCTGATACGCCCTACCTACATAACCCTTAATACCATCAGTCCGTATTACAGAAACGTAGGGTCTTTTGGCACTGTGGTGTTCTTTACAAGGAATTCTTACCAAAACAAGAAATCTTTTCCATGGGTTGGGCAAAGGCTTGAGTGGATCGCATAGTTAAGTGGCCAGCAATAAATCAGTCTAAGTGTCCTCAGCCGGACATAGATCATCAACTTGCTCCTGATGATGGAAGAATCGTCAGACAAACGTTACTCAGAAAAAAAAAACCGTGAAATAAACCGGTCACCGTAGCAGGCGGAAAAAGTATATATGCATTACGGGAACACGCCTCAATCAAATGTCGCAGCTGGAGGTCAAACGCTCCCTTTTTACATGACAAATGAATGGGGGCATACGCATAATCTACAGTAGTCGCCAAAGACCACGCAACATTCATAACTTCGTAAAAGTTTGATCATTACTCGAACATCAGTGTGAATGCATTTAGGAAAACTTACAAATAATAATGAACAGCATCAGGCGTATTTGATACTTAAAAGAACTATAGGAAGTACTAAGTGTTTGTAAAGAAAAATAAAATT